TGGGTGGCTGGTGTGCGTGGGTGGGTGGGTGGCTCGTGTGCATGGGTGTGTGTTTGTGTGTTTGTGTGTGTATGTCTGTCTGTCTATGTGTCTGTGTATGTGTATGTGTGCCCCCATGTTTGTGTGCATGTCACGTGTTTGTGTCTGTGTTTGCAACAAAATTAAAAAAGTCCGCGACGGAAAAAAAAAAAACAAAAAAAAACACGAAAGCGGGAAGTAACGAAAAAAAAAGAAAAAAAAAGGTCGCGGCAGCGGGAAACGGCAAACTTCGAGGCACACAAGCGGGCAGTCGGGCAGGGTCGCACGCTATCTACCCGTGCGATGTTTCTCGAAATTCAACACATTTTCAGTTTTTGCCACTCTTTCGGTTCTCCACACTATACTACCGGCGGCCCTGATGAAACCGTGCTACCGGTCCCCCGAATTTCTTGACGTCGGAGGGAGTTGTGGTTTAAAAGAATGAGCCTTAAAAAAAAAAAAAAAAAAATCATTCTTGACCCACCTACCACACTGTGCGACGTTAGACGACAAGTCCCCCCGGCGTAAAAAACCTCAGGGGTACTGGCAGCGGCGTTTCACGACGGGTACCGATAGTACAGAACGGAAAACCGGACAGGCCTTGAAAATTGAATTTGTGAAAACAAAACGAATCGGCGCAGCACTTATTTCACAGTCATAGTGATTTTTTTTATTTGTTCTGATATTTTTCCTTGAAATATCACGACTTTATCTACGGACCCACAAATTTTCAGGCGATTTCATGTATTTCTATGAGCTACAAAAATCGCCAAACTTACCGCTTGCAAATGGCAGGATTGGATCAGGCGGGCCACGAAAATTGACTTCACGAAAAACAAACGAATCGGCGCGGCGCTTATTTCACGGTCAAAATGATTTTTTAAATTTTTTCTGATATTGTTTATTGAAAGATCACCACTTAATCTACGGATTTACAAATTTTCAGGCGATTTGATTAATTCCTTTGAGCTACAAAAATCGCCAAAGTTACCGTTTGCAAATGGCGGGATTGGACCGGGCGGGCCACGAAAATTGACTTCGGGAAAAAAAAAGAATCGGAGCGGCGCTTATTTCATGGTACAAATGATTTATTTATTTTTTTCTGATATTTTTCCTTGAAATATCACGACCTAATCAACGGACCCTCAAATTTTCAGACGGTTTGATGAAATCTTCTGAGCTGCCGCTTGCAAATGGCGGGATTGGACCCGCCGGTGACGAACGGTTGCCGCCCCTCCGTAGAACCCGACCCTAACTCACAGGGACTGGGGGGGTTCAGCAGCTGGGGGACTAGTGGTCTTAGCTTTCGACACACAGACACATCCTGACGTGCCAGCAGCCTGATGTGGATACTGTTCAAAAGAAAGCAGTCCCCTTAAACATACAGGGACCCAGTCCGCCTCAATGGTTATCTCAATGAGCAATTCAGTATTTCAAAATCTATACGTCGGTTCAAATCCCAACCCGACCACTGCAACCGAA